GGAGGCCTCGCCGACATGTCTGGACCACAGCCTGACTGGTCAGTTCTTCCAGGGAGAGGCCGCCCCGCCTCGGGCAGCGCCTTCTGCTGCAGCGAAGAGCCACCCAGGAGAGCCCTTCCTGCGCCCGATGCGCCCGCCCAGCGTTCTGGCGCCACCGCCCGCTCCTGGCCTCTGTCCCCTTTGAGGAGAAAACCATGCAGGTCCACAGCCACGCCCACCAGACAGCAGCGCCACCGGCGTGAGCTCCTCTTGCTCTGTCATCCCTGGGGGGGGTGGGGAGGCCCTCCGGGCCCCCGCCTTCCCCCTTTACTTCCATAGAGCCCCTGTGCAGAGGGAACCCTGTCTGAACACACATTCAAGTCTCAAGGCCACACAGCAGCCCTCTGCCCAAGGGGGCGGCCTCAGGGGGCACCTGGAAACTTCCGAACCTATGTCCCTGGGAACAGAAGGTTTTACGGCTTCAACACATGCAAAACACAACTATCGCCCAGCCGGTGTGGCTCAGTGGTTGAGCATCAGCCTAGGAACCAGGAGGTCACGGTTCCATTCCCGGTCAGGGCACAGGCCCGGGTTGTGGGGCTCAGTCCCCAGTGTGAGGCGTGCAGGAGGCAGCCAACCAGTGATTCTCTCTCATCATCGATGTTTCTATCTCTCTCTCCCACTCCCTTCCTCTTTGCAATCAATAAAAAATATATTTAAAACAAACAAAGAACACAACCATAAAGTTTTGCAGGGAAAAAACATGACATCAATACAACTTTCTGACGTCATGAAGAGTGACATCACATTTCTGCACTCGGAAACATACGTGCAAAGAGGACAAAAACCTGAAGAAAAACTTCCCGGTGCGAAACCCCAACGTCGACCCAGAGTTTAGCAAGGAAAACTGAACCCTACGCGCCACACAGCCTCTGATGAGACTGAACAGACCATACCTAGGCACCGGCGCTGGGCCCCCACGCAGCCCCCAGGGCTAAACGTGAACACACACACACACACACACACACACACACACGGTCCAGACAGACAAGGCAGGCAGGGCAGGGGTAGGTGCTGAGAAGGTTCTGGAAAGAGCACAGAGTGCGGAACAGCAGAGGGTGGACTGGCACAAGGAAAAGGGGTTCAGGGAGCAGATGTGCATGCAGAGCCAGGTGTGCAGGGACGACAGGGCACACAGCAGGTGCGAGGGGGCGGGCTGGCCCTGGGGCTTGTGCAGGGGAGGTGCATGTGGGGGACAGGTGCTTAGGGCAGGCATGTGGGGCAGGTGTGGGATGGTCGGTCCAGGTGTGCACGGGCAGGTGTAGGGTGTGGGTGTGCAGGGTGTGGTGTGTGGGCGGTATGGGTGTGCAGGGAGGTGTGCAGGTGCAGGTGTAGGGTGTAGGTGTGCAGGGAA